GACATATAATTTATGTTTAGAACTTCAATGCCTTTCAAGTATGCAAGCCTGGCATGATCAGAGTTGTAGGTTATCTGTACAAGAATCACAGTTTTCATTGTCTTGCTCCTAAAAGAACAGGCACAATTATGATCTGGGGATTTTTTTTTCTCCTAAGTGAGCTGCAAAGGAAGAAACATTGTTGGTGACCTCAACTTCAGTCTGATGATATTTTAATGACTAACTCTAAGCTCTCATCCATACTAGTCAATCAGGTATTGGCTACACCTTTTCTTTTTTTGGTAAAAAAAGGGATATAGAAGTACTTCCATCAGAGTGAAAGCGTGTACAGATATAGTGTTTCTCACCACAACTGTTAAAACCTATCAAAAACTACATTCATACCTCAGCTGTACACTTCTACAGTTTACAGCTTTTTATCAGAGCTTATTAAAAAAATAAGTCTCTACAGATGCAGATTACAAGAATCATTTTCTCACCTAAATTTATTTCCTGACTAAGCAATAAGAAAATAACCATCTGGCACCTAAGGTTTCTTAGCTTTCTGTTGGGAAACATATTCTTAGCAAGTCACTGCAAAGCACAGTACAGTCAGTTGTGTCTGGGCACAGAAGACATGAAGAGAGGCTGCCAAGGCATCAGCCATGGGGGACGTTCCTAATTCCCAAACACAACATTTATTACTTGGTTTCAATATAAAGCACTCATATTTCACCATAAATTTTTTTTCCAAGTGGGCCGAAGACAGTATAGGAGACCACAGTACTTTACATTTTTTTTTAAAGTTCTGTTTTAAACACAGATGGCATACAAAGTCATTAAACAGGTTACCTAAAGAGGTCACCCAAACCACAACTCAAGTCTGAAGTGAAAGAAAAAGAATATTGCAATGCTTAAGCAACTTCATATTGAATTACAAAATACAAGGACAAAACCAGGGCAAGACCGAACAGTTCATTTCAAGCTGTGTCCTTTCAGTAAGTCTGAATTTTTCTCATGTACCAACAAGGAACAGGAAAGAATACATGAAAATAAAGTAATTGCAAGCTTTATTTTTTATCTTACAGCTGAGATGAACTGTTTCTGGTCTTGACAGTTACAGGATTGGAAGTGACATAGAAGGGCATTTTATTCATCTGGATAAGGAGTGCAGTGCTACCAGCCACAACATAAGATTTTTGACATGTTCCACAAACCACCAGCTGTGCCCCAGAGTCGGTACTTTCTTTAGCAGTCACAAGCAGTTCGGCAGTTTTATCATAGAATCATAGAATCAGCTGGGTTGGAAGGGACCTTCGAGATCATCAAGTCCAACCCTTGATCCACGACCGCTGTGGTTACTAGACCATGGCACTAAGTGCCACATCCAGTCTCTTTTGAAAAATCTCCAGGGACGGAGAATCCACCACTTCCCTGGGCAGCCCATTCCAATGTCTGACCACCCTCTCTGTAAAGAAATTCTTTCTAATTCTTCCTAAACCTCCCCTGGCACAACTTGAGACCATGCCCCCTTGTCTTGCTGATAGTTGCCTGGGAAAAGAGACCAACCCCCACCTGGCTACGATCTCCTTTCAGGTAGTTGTAGAGAGTGATGAGGTCTCCCCTGAGCCTCCTCTTCTCCAGTATTACCAGGGTTTGCCTTCATTCCTGGTCTAAGGGTATCGGTTTCCCTCCCACCTGAACTATTCTACTGGTAAACAGAAATCTAAAGTAATAATTTTATCTTGGTCTCCTACAGCTAAGTAAGGCGCAGTACAAGTGTTTTGACTTAAGTTTCTTAGAAACACCACCCACTCAGCTGCCTGTCGAGTCATCAGCGAGTGGCTGCTGCTGAGAGCTCTAACCAGAGACTTTAAACCCCGAGAACAAACACTCGCTGCAACTTCAACTTCCGTGAAATCTGACTAATCCCCACTGCTGTTCCACGGGTAAAATATTACCAAGTGACATGAAGCAGGGAGATTCAGAGTCCTGTATGGGATAATACACTTACAAATCCCAGAGCAGGCCAAATCACAAGCTATAAAAAGGTGCTACTTCACTTGTACAGCAGTAACTGGCCACAAGAAACAACGGCTCGAGTTTCTTTCCCATACATGTGGAACATAAGTTGAAAAATGGACATAAGTGGAAGCTATTATACCAACGGTACTAAAAGTTTTTTTAATGTACTTTAAATGGTACTATAAGTTACTTTTATAGCTCTTTACCATGTGATTTAGTATTCCTTGATACCAAATTCTGAGCAAGCTGCTACCTAACCTGAGTGACAGGAGATGTTTGTGCCCTGAGCACCAAGTCTGGGGTGTTCAGAAGTCTACAGTTTCTTCTGTTCCTTTATACAGCACTGTTGGTAATAATATAACCAAATGCATCATATGCAGACATTATGCACGGTAAGAAGAGTACAAGGCTCTGCAATTTAAGTAATGAAGGTATGCTGGCTACATGAGCAACTCTAAATGCAAAAAATTTTTGCAGACTCTGAAAACCCCTAAATCAGATGTTGCTAGAAACCAGAGTAAAGGAAAGGCTCCAATAAGCTGGAAAGTTTGTGTGTGCTTCCAGAATCCACATCCCTGGCACAAAACTCCCCAGACTCACTGTTTTTCTCTCCCCATTTTGCAATTAGGAAAAATACTTCAGGAAAGAGAGTACAATACCCTTCAGGTACAGCACTCAAGTTTTGTCCTGCCTGCAGCTCCCAGAGCCACAGCATCCAGCCCTGAGAAGTGGGACAACTGTCAAAGCATCACACAGCTTTCTGCGCTTCCCAGCGGACAACGCTGCCTCTGGAGGCTTTTTCCCCCCAAGAAAAAATTAGATAAGCAAAGATAAAATGATGTGCTTTCAGATGTTAATGTCTCTTCTAATATTGCCACTTTTTTAAACTGTTACATAATCCAGTTGTGTAACCAACAAGCTCAACTTCTCGGTAAGGCTGCTCCCCTCCCTCCATCCATCAACCCTGACATCACAGAGGGTTCCTGTGTGAGTTACACAACTTCCTTCGTTTCCCAAATAATATGGTACAATTGTCCTCCATCTGTTTCTTGTGCTAATTCACTAAAAATGAGGACCCAGACAGCACCTGCTGACACTACATGCTACTGACTCCCCATATTCCAAGCAACCTGACCAGTAAGTACTTCAACAGCTGAAAGCTGAAGTCTTCAAAATGCCAACTTACAAGGGTGACAGTAACACTGACTTAAAACAATATGAAAATCAAAGGATCCTTAAAGGATCCCTGTTTTCAGAAGCTTGACTTTGAATGGAAGTCAGAAGCAGAGACGGTACAACCCTCTAGGCCAGTTTTCTGCCAGAGTGGTTATTTTAAAAAATTAAAGGTTCATACTCTTCCCCCGATAAGCTGAGCCTGCACCATTCTGCAAAAAGCCTAAAGCAAATTAAAAGAGCAACAGAATTATCGTAACTCAAGTGCACACTTTTTTTTTTATATTAAGATGCATGTTGTGAGCAGTCACCTACAGTCCTACACAAGTGAAAGGTAGTTTTAAAATAATCTGAGATTTGGAAAGACAGGTGACATTTATAGCTTCTTTTCATTCTGCTCTTGCCTTTGCTTCTTAATCAGCTGTTTGTCTTACAAACTCTTTTGTTTTATGAATTTTACAGACAGAAAACAAGGCTAAGACGCTGTCATGAACTGCTTTCTACAACAGCCTTTCAGCATTATCACAGAGCTTGCAAGAAATGAAGTTTCTCCATCCAACAAGTAAATTTTTGAGACAGTAAGCTCAAAGGACACAGCCAAAGATGTTCGGAGAAACAACCGACCAACCAGACAGACTTTAAGAAACTTTATCCAAGGCATTGTCTAATATATATACAAGGATCACAAAGGTTCTGTGGAACTACCACGTGATGAGTGCCCTCTGTTCTTTCAGGACACTCGGGAAAGCTTGACATGGTTTGTTGGAATTGCACAGAGAAGCTGGAGGTACTCAGCTTCTGGTTCACAGTCATCTATTCTCAAAAAAAATACCTGGAGCAGCTGAGGCATGCAAGAGCCATCTGTGACAAAACTGCCACCTTAAGCTCAAGATTTCCATCCTAAGTCTTGACGTTGATGGTAAAAAGTGTAGGAAAAGTTTCTTAGAACTCTACAAAAAGAGACAAATCCGAACCTTCATTTTTAATTAGGGTTTCCCTTTGTATTTAAGTATGATTCTTAATTTGAAATAGAAAAAACTCCTAAAGGTTTTCCCACCAGTACTTCAGATGCTTGTGCACACATGCATCGGGGGTTTTATTTACACAGAAAGAAGGGACTGGAACATCTGGCATGGCACAGGTACACATTAACATATGAAGATATGCATGCATTATAACATAAACATGCCTACACTAGGAGCAAATGTAAGCTAATCATACCTCCAATGATATGAGAATTATACATGTCATTAATGCAAACAGAGCTCATGCTGGACTTTGCTTCCTAAAACTAATTATGTGCCCAAGACAAGACTGGAGAAATCACATTAATCTCAGGTAAAATGACAAGGAAAATAATCAGTTGGTTTGCAAAGCCAAGGGGTGCAGAGTATGCCAAGTCAACTTCCTTTGAATTGAACAAGGTGCACATTAACTGGCAACATAAAACCAAGCATTTTATCAACATGCTTTGAGGGCTGCAAACCTGCTTTTTTGAACTTTAAAAGAAAAAAATAATCAGTTTCAGGATTTTTTTGTTCTACTGAAAATAAAGAGGGATGAAATGGAATCTAAAGTTCCTTTCAAGTGTTATGTTTTCAGAATGACTATTGATATCTACATTTAGATATCAGTAAGTGCATGTTTTAAAACATTTAAAGTTTTAGTTCTCTTAGGAATTAATGCGGGAGGGGAAAGCAATAAATAAAATGATTAATGCCAGCAGGGTATACACAGCCATATTTATTAGTTCACTTCCAATTACATAAAAGAGAAAGCTGAAGCCATACACAAGTGCTGCTTTAAAATAAAAGACAGACTACTGTTTTCTCCAACAGTTTTATTTCAAAAAGTACACAAGTCTGTCATGGAACTACAGCGTTTTAAAATTTTGAACTTTGTTTTTGTTTTTTTTTTTTTAGAAATTCACTCACAATACTCATATTTTAAAATACCATTCCCCCAAAAGTGTGAATATAAAACCTCATACTGAAATTCATATCAAAGTCCATGCTTTGTGCATGAGAAGTGTAATGTAACATCGTAACATTTGGGATTCCAGGAAGTTTTATTGCTCCGATTTCAACTGAGCTGTGCCTCAATGCTAGAGGACCAATAACCAAAGGGTCCCATAAAGCACCTATCGAGTGTATAAAACATGGTTTAAGTGACACAAATAGCTTAATGTCTTTAGACTGGAATAGAGACCTAAAGTGATCCAGAATATACACTGCTCAGAACAAAACTAAAAGCTTGTCATGGAAACCAGTAGTATACAATATTCAGCATTACAGAAAAAACTTGCAATTAAGAAGTCTTACTTGCACTATTAAGCAGGAAGCATACATCTAATATGAATGCAACTATCCAGAGTTGATAAAGACGTATGCAATGTACATTTCTCTCAAAAGTCATGTTTTATCCCTCCAACAAGGCATTTCTGTGCACTATACAGTTTTGGAAGAAGTATTCATTTTTCAGGGAAGGAAGTTTCACACAATTATCTTTAAATACCCACTGCAGGAAGTTTATGAAGATGCTTGAACTGTATGGACAAGTGTTACGGAACCTCTACAGTATTACAAGTCTAACACTTTATTCACACCATGCTAAAATTGAGGGGTTTCTTTCTCTATATAGTAGTCCTCAACAGGCAAGTTTACAGTCATGACATTAACTAGAGGTTTCTTGAGCTCACTTAAGAGTATTTACAAAATGGTACCACCCTCCCTACCCCCTCCCCCTTTTTTCTTTTTTAATCAAATGAGACATTAAAAATGCCACCTCCTAACTGGTATATCAGCTGCCATTACTTCCTAAAAGTGTTCTGTTAGGAGAGCTATCTGTAAGATTGGACACCTCACATGTTTAACCAGTTCATCTCCTACACAGCTAGAAATCATTGTTAGACTACAGTAGCTGCTTTTGAGAATCATAATCCAGTGTAAGTGAACAATCTAGTGAAAAAAAGAAATAATTTATAATTTATAATAGCAGTATTATGTTCTCATAGTAGTGTTCTATCCATCCAAAAAGGCATGATGATAGCAACTTGAGGCCAAGTTTACCCCAAGTCAGGGGTTCTTTATTTCAGATAAGGACTATGTCAGATTCTATTTCTCCTCTTTTTCCATGCAATTACATAAATAGACAGACACTGTCAAGGCTGCTAAGCCTAACAGCCAGGCTCTGAGGGCACATCACGCTGTCCTTCTGTCCATTTATTATTTTGCACAAGCTGACAGAGCATCAAGCATGTGTAAACTCTGCTCTGCGTGCTTTACTGAGATAGGTTTCTGGTTCTGAGTGTCCTAGGGCTTAACTGACTTGTAAGTACAGGGTCTCAGGCCAAACCAAAAGAACAAAACAAAACAAAACCAAACCAAAAGAAACCAAACAAAACCCACTGAAAAACACATATGACCACAGATGGCTAAGAACCAAATTTAGTAGGTTTGCTGCCTGGTTGCTTAGGTTTATAGCTATCTCTCAGTCTGTGATTCAGCTTAGTTTTGTACTCAACTCGTATTTATAATAATTATACCCTTTTAATTAAGGAAGGCCTTGGTTTCAAGGTAAACAATCAGTGTACTATTAACATCTTGGAAGTCTCTTCTGTCACAATAATTGGATGTAAGAAGATGTCTCCCCACCTATTGTTCTTCAGAAGCTATGTTTGGCACATTTACTAAACCTATTATTTACCACACATATAAAAATCAATCATCCATCTCATTGGTACAACAACTGAACAGTTTTCAGGAATATAAACATTTAAATCATAATTAGCAATTGAAGGAGTGACATTTTGAAATACAGAAGAATACAGAGAGAGACACTGAAGTCACATCCAAAAATAGGCATGAAGAGGTATAAATAGTACATAAGAATCAAGAAATCAGATCACAGTGTCATGTTTTAAGAACTGTACCATCATCTAAGCACCTGTTCAAACAGTATGTTTAGGCACCAGAAATTTCATAAAAACTGAAGTTACAATCAGGCAAAGTTTATTGACAAGGCACACATGAAAGATAAAAAATCTGATCTCTAACAGTATCAGCTTACAATCTAAAAAAGTCCCAAATGTGTAAAACTAGGTCTAGAATGCTTAATAGCCATTCAAGTTTCTAAATTCGGTATGAAGGGTATGTTAGCATTATAAAATGGTTTGGGTTGGAAGATGACCTTGTACCAACCACCCTGCCACGGGCAGGGAAATTTCTTTACATTAATAGTGCCAGCCAAGGATTGTGCATCTAATTACAGATAGGACAAACATTTAGTAGTAAGCCAAAGAATTCATCACAGAACTATAAGCAGCTACAAAAAAGCAGACACTAAACCTAGAAGTTTGGGAAAATGTTTTCTCTCACACTGTTGCTACACACAAACAATCCTAACATCTTTCAACAGGCTATTCAGATATTTCCTTCATCAACATCAGTGCCCCATACTATATGCTTTTAGAGTTTTCCAAAATACCTTGCAGTTCAACAACTATAGCTAGAATAAGCTGAAGGGACTCTCCCTCACCTGCCCTTCACACAGTATGAAGAAGGTAGAAAACAGGAAGGAAGATAAAATCCACAAAGATTCAAGCTGCACTAAGTTTTAAATCCAGCTTTCACAGGTACGTAATATCAGTTACCAGAAGCTATCAGAAGTCCTAAATACATGTGAAAGTAAGAGAAAGAATTGTTCTGTTTCTCCTGTATTGCTTTAATTTTGCAAAATTGGGAAGAAGCGTTTTTAATTTTGAAACATGAGATCTGCATGAACAATTCTGGATAACTATTTGCTCTCAGCTGCACAAAACTCTTGCTCTTAAAAAGTCTGAACATTGGTTCAGAATATTTAGAGCTGTTGAAGAGGCAAGGAGAAATGAGCTTTAAACTCCTTGCAAATTCACACAGGAAGACATTAGCATCTCGAGTAAAGGCTGACTACTGCTTACATGTATATGGGAAAAGTTGTTTCCACAGTGATGTTAGAGGACAGATATCCAATACCAGTTACTTAACAGCTTAATAGCTCTCATTAAATCCCCATGGAGCTTCTAGGTAATTGGTTTGGAAAAAAAAATAAGAGCACTGCCTTAGTATATAAACAGGCGTTGGAAAATGCAAGGTACAATTACCTTAAAGACCTGCATAAAGATCCATAATTCATTCTTACTGTGACAGTAACAGCTGATTTATAGATCTTAAAGCTTAGGTGCCATCACCAACAACCTGACAGGACTTCTTGCATCAGAGAATGCAAGTATTAAGTCAACCTGACTAGAACTAGTTATTACAGAAAAATTCATGTTTCAAAGAGCTTGCAAGGTCTCCTGTCACACTTCCACTCACTGACATTTTAAATTCAGAGTAGATTAATTAAACTAATTGAACCAATTAAATAACTGGCTGCCCCTGAAATAAGAGCTCAAGTGCTCCAAACAAACATTACCAGATCAAAGAACCACATAAATATGAACAGAATTCAAAGTCATCCTCAGTATTTCAGCCCCATGCAACTACATCAGAGTTCAATATCAAGTTCAAATATTTCTGTTATTCCATAATTGAGGATAAAGTTATAGGAACTCTGAGAAACTCCATGGTCTACACATGAAATGCTTTGTTAATTCTCCTTTGTCTCACTGTTACACATTCAGGACTGCACATTAGCTGACAGTGTCAGTGTCTCTTCAGCAACCTACCACAGGTCCAAATACCTTCAGTGTCCAATATTTATTTAGGAACTTCAACGCTTTTTGTAAATAGTTCAACTGTCATATACTAATAAGTTTAAAATTAAATCTGAGAATTGGTGGCTTTTCAAACTAACTTGTTCGTTTGCTTCAAGGACAATTTCATGCCAGTGTTTAAATGAGGGATGGAACACAGTAGTTTTCTCTAATACTTACAAAGAACACTTTAAAAAACAGCTTTTAAATTAATAATATTTTATACTATCGACCCATCTTTGCTTTGTGCTGGAATCATCACAGGAACAGCTCCCATTCTACTTAAATTAGGTGCAGCTACCTTTGAAGGTGCAAAGGTTGGGTTTTGACCAGGAGCACGTTCAAAGTCTTCACTTGGGACTTGGCTATATGGAGTTTTGGTATATCCTTCCATATTTGAGGGAGACATTGAACCCAGAGAAGAACGATTGCTGCCGATGTAGCTGCGAGCTGTTGAACTGCGGCTTTTTGGAGGTGGAACATCTTCTCTGAAATACACAAAAAAAGAAAAGAGTTGTAGAACAAGAGTTCAGTCACCATTACCATGTGGGAGCTTACAAAACACTTATTCAGTTTGTTTCTTTCTTTCTATTCTAATGCAGTAGCCAAAAAAATCTTTACGTCTTCCTTTAAAGTAACAAAAAATTCAAGTATTCATTGCCTTTAAAATGTTTACTGAAATTAGACATGACCACAGAAAGTTCTCTGACAAACAGTTAGCATGTTAATAAGCTTTCCAGATTAAGACAAATCTCAACTGTTAAGTATCTTACTTGCAGAAATACACATTTAAAAGTTAATCTTCCAATAATACTGCTCAGAAACCAGAGACGTGTTGTTACCTGATATCGTGATGTACTTCTTTCTCATATTTCTTCTCTCTGTGCTTCTTACAGCAACAGAAGACGAGAAAAATCAGTACAGAAAGACCCAGCAGAGTTCCTATAATAGCTCCAGCAATTATACCAGCTGTATTTACGGCTAGAATAGATAAATAACAATACTGTTTGTTAAGTGTCAAAGTTATAAGACCAACTTTCTTTTAACATTAAACCCAGTATGTTTCACATGATCCACGTTAATAGCACACCACTGAATCAGAGAGATGCTCAATCACACTAATTTAAAACAATAATAAGACTTGAACTGTCACCCACCAGTTACAGAGTGTTGGATTTGAATTTAGAGAAAAAAGACTATTCAGTTTTCATACAGAGAACACTACGTGACCATTACACAGCAAACACTTACGAGGCGTGACATTCAGCTGAACAGAACATTCATCCGTGCCAACTCTGTTTGAGGCCACACAGTTGTATAAACCAGAATGTTCTTGAGAGGCGTTTTTCAGAAGAAGTTCCCCTGTATCTTTATCTACAAACAACAAAAGGTAGAGGTTTATCATTTTGCAAAGTTTAATTCCATACACAGTACTACAGAATTATTAATCCAGCACATACCTGAAATCTTAACTTAAAAATGCCATATTAAAGAGATACAAATAAAAACAAAAGCCTATCATGCTGTAAACCACTAATCATGCTGTAAACCACTATTATTTGTAAAAGTCTGTTAGAAATTTATTCCACGGGATTTGACTTAATATTAAGCCTACTGACTAACTGCTCTATCAATGGATAGGAACAGATGCTACTCTCAGTGCTCTAAAGCCTTGCATTAAGTTATCTGACATGACTAGAACTAGCTATGAGAGAAAAATTCATGTTTTAAAGAGCTTGCAAGGTCTCCTGTCGCATTTTCACTCGCTGAGATTTTAAGTGTAGATTCGTGCTACCTTCAGACGCTATGGCCAATTCTCTCATCTTAACACAGAATTCTATAATACAAAAGATGAACTGCGCCCCTAAGCCACCACCCCCCTCTTCTAAATAGATTCTACACAACCAACTCAGGTGTCTGTAGAACTCATGCGAAGCGTGAGGTGGACCTAACCCAAACATGTGCCCCAACGGGTGACCAACTAAGTCCAGTTTAAGTAGATTCCTTAAGAAATAGTGAAAATAAAGAGGTTTTCCCCAGGCTCTCAAAGCCATTGACAACTACCTTTGTGAGATCCTACAAGGTGAACTTCAACTGGCTTTCATGCTTTAAGTGCCAACAGATCTGCCATGAGCACTGCAAAAGACTCATCACAAGAACAAAGCACCAGGCAAATACTTTGTTCTACCTGCTGAACCAGTTGTCTAGATTCTTGAGGACATGCTCAGTGTCCCCACACCTACATTCACAAGCCCAAAACTAACATTATTTTATTGAGTTACATGCCACCTTTGCACAGTTCCTCATTCATTCTTGTCTAGCACTGATATTGTCACTGATTTTTTTGTTACCATGTGACAAATTTGGGATGTGGGGAAAAAAAGGGGCATAACAGCAGTTGCCTAAAGTCTTGACTGGTGCAGAGAAGGATATTAATGATCAACCATTCATTATCAAAACAAAAAATAAGAGATATCAAATAGCACTAGCAGGACACCAGTTCAAAATGAAGAACAGTTACAGGTTCTTCCTTTGTAGCTGATTTCTGGGGATCTGTGTTCTAAGATATTACAGATTCTAACAGACTATAGAAGCTTACAAAAAACTGAAGAAGTTCACAGAAGTCAGTTTTTGCTTGTTTTAAATAAAACTGAAGCCACATCTCAATTCCCTGAGGCATAAACTACAGGAGCATAACAGACCCCTAAAAGGAAGAACCAAACAACTTCTTGTTCTCTCTCCTCTAGAAATCCACTTTGTCTACTCTTAGATACATGATGTCACTTTGTCCTTTACATCCTGTGCCATTTAAGTTAAAATATGTCTATTTGCAAGCAGATTCTTAAACTTCTACATCTGCAAGAAAATCCTACCATCTCAAAGTTCAAGGTTTTCATAACCACAAAAGGAGATCAAAAAGAAATGGTACTAAGCAGTACTCAGTCAAAAAAAACATTCTAGAATAACTTTCAGAAAACTCACAAGTTAACTTCTACAATGAAGTTGTCACAATAATAATCAGATATCAGCACTGTAATAATTTGGAATCCATCAGTCAAAATTCAGAGTATCTTAACTCCATCCTTACAACATGGGTACAGGTGAGCATGATACAGCAGTCTAATGGTAAGAATCTCCACTTAAAGCTTGAAACGTTTCCCAGTATGAATTAAAAAACCAAAATAAACTCCCAACTTGTTTCACAGTCAATTTTGTTACCCAGTGAGAGGGCAGAAGTGATACTTATCTTGACTACACTATATTAATACTAATTATGAGATGTTCACAAGTCAAACTAAGCCAAAAACACTAATACATTCTTTTTAAATATTTCAGAGTAATAAATCAAGTTTGACAGTACTCAGTATGGAAGTGGCAGGAAGTTCATTTGTGCCAGATACTCTCCTCCAGTCGTAAGACAAAAGTGGGGATCCTTCTTGTGATGTACATTTCAAGGTAACATCTTTTCCAATCTCCTGTGATCCTTCAATGGAACATTTAGTTCTTGCTGGCTTTACTAATAAACAAAATATCATTGAATTAGTAACAGTCACAATCAAAATGCTTGGTACCTGTGTTCTAGTAGGTCAGTTCATTTTGCTAAAGATAAAGCTTGTGAAACAAACCATTTTTATGCATGGAAAGATTTTCTACAAAATATGAACCAAGCACAATTTTTAAAAGTGCTCATTATTCTGAATATTATTCCCTTCTTCTCCCAGAACAGAATTATGTCCACCCTTCCCAAAGCCTCAATAACAAGTGCATCATCATCACAGATTGAATATGACTTTACTCAGCAGAAGTTTTCATTTTAGACATCGAAGATAGAACGGAATAAGCACATACAAAATGTCACTGAAAACTCAAGAAAAGAAATTATCTTACCAAGTACAGTCAACTGTATTTTTCTGCTTTGAACTCCAGGAGCTTTCTTCACTTTGCACTGGTACGTGCCAGTGTCTTCTGCCTTTAAATTCTGGATATCCAATGAAGCATCACCATTTTTGGGATCATTCTGAGTAAATGCCATCCTCCCAGTCTGAGCACCATAATAATGATTATAAATCCTGTCGACAGCATACATAATTATCTATTAAAAAAAAAAATATGGTTCAGAAATCCACTTGGCATGCAAACATTTAAAATAATTTGGTCTCTTCAGTTTCTTGTCAGGTTCTTTCCATAGTTTTAATCCCAGAAGTATGACATATCCAAATACCTCCATCTTCCAAATATCACCACACATCTGCCCAAGTATCAATATGTCAGTATTGACTTCTAACTGAAAAAAAAAAAACCTGTTTAGAACTGCTCTAATTTCATTCTGTAAAACCTATCTACTAAAATGAATCTATCCTATTATTGTTAAGGCTTCCAATTAAAGGAAAACATTAATAACTAAAAGAGTTAATATATTTAAAATTAAATCCTCATAAACCCGTTATTAATCAGGGAGATAATGCAGATACAAAAAGGGAGTTTGCTTTCTGGAACTGAGGTGTACTTAATTTGAGAGTTCTTCATTAGAAGGCAAGCTTATAGTGAAAAATTTCTAGACATTTCATACTTAATCTGCTATTCCAAAATTTCCACTATATTTCATTTGACTGGTGCTTCAAAGTAATTTAAGATCACAAGCATCCCAACCTGAAAAGGTAGAAGCTTAAAAAGTCAGTAACAAAACTTGCACATTGACCTACTCAAACAACTGAAATAACACTGTCCAAAAGAAAGTCTCTACTTACTATTTTTTCCTTCTTTTGATTATCTGCTGGTATCAATACCCACTCAATATCTAGTGGGCCTTCATCTTCCTCTGAGAGTTCAAAAGTACATGGCAACGTTACTCTCTCTCCTTGTGCTTTTTCAAACATTGATTGGTCAACTGAAGTTATAGTTAAGCTTCTCGTTAGACCTACAAAAATATATTTTTTTATGTTTTAAAAACAAGTCACATGCAGCTTTCACCATAAATGTTCTGTTATATATGAGTATATATTCAAATCCATCATATACTGTTCCTGTATAGAAATCCTGCCATTAGTCAGACTTGTCACTGTTGGAGAGAACCCGTGCAGATCCTGTTACCAAACACAATGCAGAGTCATGTGCTGCTTATTTGGAATCATATCCAACAGACAGATACATCTTTCAAGTCACACTTATTTTTTGTACAAATCAAGTCCCATACAAAGCTAAACTGAACATTTTCAGCAGTGGGTTTTCAAGTTATTAGATAATCACCTTACCACTACTCCCTCACTGTAAAATGGAAGTTTGGAACAGCCATGAAGTCTGCCAGGATAGACAGAATTTTTGTGAAGTCCTGGCTTAGATCAAGTGAATTTACTCTATCCTGAGTTATAAGGGCTCCTTTACCTACAGAGAGCAGACAAATGAATCCTTTCCAAAAATCTCAATGAGTTTTTTACATTTGTTTGTCCTTTCTGCTTGTCTTACTCCTCTAAAAGGGCTGTGTAATCCTTATCTGCGTGCCTCTAGGCAAAACATGTTTCCAAACAACAAATTTCCCTCAATTCTGCCTTGAAAAAGAATCCATATAGTGACACAGAGCTACTCAAAAGGCCTGAAGCAACATTCCCCTCTTTCACAACAAACTCGGGCTTCCCTTCTATCAAGAGTAGGACTTGCACATCACAGCCAGGAAGTGGAAAGTGTGCCTTTAGCTCAGTATGGAAACAGGTTTGGCACCAGAATATCCACTGTTTCCCTTTGCTGGGAACCAAGCTCAGATTTTCAGTCATGTTATGTGTGTACACTGCCAGACAGTCACAGAGATGTGACCACAGACACAAGAGATTCAAGGCCACAAGGAGAGTGGAGAGTGTAAAGAAGATGGATTGCCTTGGTGAATCCGTAAAATAAAAGCTTCAGATGAAATAAAGTTTAAAATCATTATAAACAGTGCATTTGTGCTCTAACTTGCACTTCTCCATATAGCAGAGAAGCTGAAGTGCATTTCTGCAGATCATAGAATCTGCAGAGTTGGAAGGGACCCTACATCTACCCTACTTCACTAAAATTCTGATCTCTGTCAAGTCTTTGGGTTCTCTTCCTAAAACCAAAACAATAGGATCTTTAACATCTATTAAAAAAAAAATCCCTTAGAAAGAGAAATCACCTGATATACTGAATTCCAGACAACAGCCTGCAAGAAAAGACCTTCACAATTGTTAATTACAAACATACAGTTACAAATTAGGTAGGATTATTTTGTTTCCTACCATTCATGGTATTACTTTGCATGATATTACCTTCAGACAGGGTAATACCACACACACACACACACAACCCCCCCCAAAATGAAACAAAAAACCCCCACCAACTTGAGGTAGGAAAAAGATTTAGGTGCAATGTCTCTTACCAACTGATGTACACCTTTCCAAAGATAGTTCTAACAAGGTTTGTAGCACCCCTCTTTTGACCACAGTAAAGAGATCTGAGCAACTAATTCTCTGCTACTAGCTGAATTAATACTGTTTCCTAAATGATAATGATGTCTGTGAATACATGCCACAAATGTTATCCCCACTTAAAGGATCTTTTCAGACTTCCAAGTGTAAAACTAGCCACTCTAAACCTCTTAAAAAGGTCATTTTACAGTGAATACATTACAGTGTAATCCTTAAATTTGATCAGCTTTGCATAAACAAAGACAATACTACTAGCCATCATCTCTATAAATGGGTAGATTCACGTTTCCATAAAGCACAGTAGCAAATAATGCCAATCCATCATCTGTTTTTCAGTAACTTCCATATTCTTCTGTTCCCTTTTCCTCCACGGTCTCATTAGGGAACTGTAATACAATATTCTCAAGTTCATCTCCAAATTGCATTTCTGCTTTTTCAATTTTACTATATTGAAGAAACGAGATGGGATGTCAAGTACAGTTTAGGGACAGATGATGAAATACATTATAATATTACTTCCTTGAAAGCCTCAAATCTGTAACCCAGGAAATTAAAAGCTTTCTGAAGTAAATCAGAGCTCCTGCTCTGTGAGAGCACCTCCACTTTCCCATCTGAAGTTCCATAAAGAAAGATCACAGCACACACATCTCCTTCCCACTTCCCACAAGGCAACCTGCTGAGGATTTCACAAACTGTTCAGTTATTCAGGTAAGAGCAACACAATGACATCTGCCTCTTCACAGTGGATTGGGAATAATGGAATTCATACTCTGGAGATGCTATGACACATCCCTACTACCAAAAAGTATAAAACCTCTGATTTTTAGTTGCTAACCTGCTGAAACACAACACAGCCAAAACAAACCGGACAGATGAGTATTCATATGTTGATTTTTTTGACTACTTTTCTAAACAAATCGGACTCCTACAATCGATGTTTTATTTCTCTCCATCTTCCACCATCACTTGTTCATCTCTTTGACAATTTCAAACAAATACAAAAGCAGAAATAACAGTCCTGTGCAACCAGTAGTCCCTACAGTTATTCATTGGTTCTGACATAGCTAAGAAGCATTAAATTCTTCAACTCTCTCTTGCCTATTCATTGCCAGACAACTTCACGTGGGTATAATTTCAAAGTGGATGCTACACAAACTGTTTCTTGTTCAGGTGGCAGAACACTGAGAAAGGGACACTGAGAACGGGGAAGAAAAATTATGTTAAACGCTGGAAGTACTAAATTTCAGAGACACACTCCTAGGAAACTAGACTGCCTATCACATGGCAGCTTGCTTAAAGTGCTTTAAAAGCCAGAAATAGCAAACATTTCAGCCTCAGTTTCTATTATGGCACTCATTTCTCTGATCCAAAACATACAAATCAACATATAACCATGTGACAAATAAAAGCAGAACCCAACAGCCTGAAGTGCCTTGCACAACATTTATACAACATACAAGATTTCTACAAAACATTTTAAAAAGTTTGAAATTTTGAATCTTTTGAAGTCTGAGTAGTATTTTCATACACATTCACTGCATGCAAACATGTCAGTGAAAGCTAAAGCACACAAACCTCGGGATAGCACTCAAAAACCATTCCTGCATGTGAAGCTTGCGCAAACATTAGCTGTTACCAGAGGTACTCAAACATTAGTCTGAGCCTTCTAATTCACAGAGATTTTTCATAAATCTAAATTCCTTTCTTACTGCACATCTCCCAACACCTCATTTTTTTTCTATGCTGGTGCTCCACAGTCTCTTTCTTACAGTAAGGACTCAAGCATATAAAGCTTTTTTACACTTTTTCATTTTCTTTTGGTCAACACTGGCATGCAGAAGCAGCAAGGATCTCAATTAAGGGACGTGCCAAAGCTAGCTGAGTTTGAACTGAGCATTAGAACACAAGGGAGTGGCAGGTAATACTAGCTGGAGATTCCTTTCTGCAGGGAAGACACACATATCTGCTGCCAGATATGCTGGTGGAGGAAGTTTGGCCAGATTCGACATGTCAGATATTGTCAAGGGTCCTCCAACCCTTATTATCATCACCACTATTGCCTTCCTCTCCCCCTTTTTTCTTTTTGTTCTTTTTCCCCCTAACTATTACCTACTCACACAGGCACCCATCATGCTATTAACAAAGGAGCAAATCAAGAGTGACTAGAAAACTCCAGGGGCAAAGAAGGACACGGGACCACAAGTGACGTTTGCTCTCCTTGTTCTTTCCACGTGAGAAGTAAAAGGCTTGTAGAGCCACATCCTTCAAGTTAAGGACTTGCTGCAGGATTGGCACTGCAAGTAGGGGGTTAATTTTATGGCCACAAGTGCCCTTGAGAAACAAGGGTTGCCAAATTGAGGTGGGATCCACTTCACGACGGGGGGGTTAAGAACAACCTCATCAAATTTGGTGACAAGCCCAGTAAATGAGAGATCTACCAAGGAACAGTAATTGAAGCTTGCAGTTAAGGGAGGGAATAGAGACTGAGACATGTTAAGTACATGGGTCAGGCTGCTGGGAGGAAGAAAGATCTGGGTGATGAGGATAAAGCATGTTGAAAGGGGAACCACCTAAAGCACCTGTACACATAACTTCAACACTAGGGTAAATAAGACATGTGGGATAGCTTGCATGACTGGAGCTTTGTCACAGAGGTGGTACAAGCTTTTCTACAAAGCCAGGAAGGAAAGCACAGCAAGTGAACTGCCCTTTACCTGAAAGAGCAGCTGGAACACAAAAAGCTGTTCTACAGGATGGACAACAGGCTAGCTAAGAGCTTGTGGGTCAGGATTAAAGGAGACAACCATATTGACAACATCACACTCTTTGTTACAAATCACCTGACTGGAGTAAAAAAGCTGATGAAGTGTATTTCAGCAATTCCATGAAGTCTCTAAAAACCACAGAGACTGGTTATTGTGGGACACTAATCTCCCTGACATCTACTGGAAGGGCAACACAGCAGGACACGAACAATCCAGGAGACTTCTGGAAGATTTTGGAGGAAAAAAAGAGTGCTAAATAAGTCAATCCGCATTTGATACTTTCTTGAAATTGCTTTCAAGGAAAAAAAGAAAGAATTTGCTGGGGATGGGATCAACAGAAGTCTTGACTGTAGTGACCATGAAATAGTGAAGTTTAAAATCCTGAGAGGAGAGATGAAGGCAAATCCAGCACCGACCCTGAACTTCAGAAGGGCAGGCCAACTTGTTCAGTAACTGGAATTCTGTGGGATCCACTTCTGAAAAGCAGAAGAGCTCAAAAAAGCTGGGAGGTATTTAAGGACAACTGCTTCTAACCACAAGAGAAGTACATCCCAGCACTCAGGAAAACAATCAGACCAATCAGCAGCTTAGCCTAAGGAAGAAGAAGCATGATTACTAAGGGACGAATACACAAATATTGCCCAGGCATGCAGCACCCCTGCCAGGGATGCCAAAACACAACTAAAACTGAAAGCAGCATCAGACTTCAGTGCCACATGAAAACCTTCTACTATT